CGAAGGTTTCCCCACTTAGGCACATAAATTCTCTTCCCTTTCGTATAGAGAATGCCATCCTCCTCCTAAAATTTTCAAGTCTTGCCCTCCCTTGCGAGGGCCAATAAACTCTCGACGGTGGGATCATGCTTTATTCCTTTCTTAATTCTAGCCACGATCTCCCCATCTATCTTTGTTATGTGATGCAACTCAACCTTTCTACTAAGTGCATCGGCCACCACATTAGTCTTGCTCGGCTTGTACTCAAAGGCATAGTCAAATTCGGTAAGCGAGTTAGTGATCTCTTCGGGTACTTTTGTTCCCTCATCATCCATTATCTCGTCTTCTCTCAATGTTACCAAGTAGGTGTCTTCCCTTTTCTTGAAGCCCTTCTTTACTTGCATAGTCGAAAGATGCTTCAAGTTCGATCTAGCATGTACCTTGGCCGGCACCATGCATGACATTTCTTCTTTCATGATCACCATTTGCTCCAAGTGAGGCATAGGCATAACTTTCGCTTGTTTAAAGAACTCCATGCCTAGTACAACCTTGAAGTCGTCCATTGTGATAATGGTGAAATCCAGCCTTCCTTTTCCATACGCTTATGCCAAGCCTTACCCCATGCACTACACCATAAGTAGGCTTAGGGGAAGTATTCATCACCTTTATGCTACTTGATGACTTAGTCACCACCAAGCCAAGTCTTTTGGCCTCATCCTCATTCATGAAATTATGTGTGACACTCGTGTCTAGAATTACAAGTGTGGCCTTACCATTCACGTCCATATCCACATACATAAGCCCATCATTTTATGGCACCTTAGGTGAGGGCTTAAAATTCATGGTATTGAGAAGCTGCAACAATCTTATATGCTTCTCATGCTCTGAGAGCACACTTCTTTTCCTCCATCAAGGCATTGAAGGCTTGTCGCTTTGAGCACTCTCTCCACCGATGTGGCCCATTACAAAAGTAACAACCCTTGGGCTGGAATTCTCTCTTATCATGTTCTTTGATAAAGCTCTTGGACTTGTGTGCTTTGTCTTGCCCATCTTTGTACTCCTTCTTTTCGTAGGCTCCCTCACCTTTGCCCTTGAAGTCTTTCTTGGGCTTAGAGGGTCTCGCTTCTCTTTTGTATTTAAGTAGGGATTCAGCTATGGCCACGGCTTTAACGAAGGTGTTAGGTCATCGACCTTGCACCTCTTGTTGTGCCTATGATTGAAGTCATTTAATAAAATCATACATATGATCATAGTGGGGTTTGTCACGTACTTGAAGTTTAAGAAAAATATATTCTCATACATAATTATGAATAGTTCCCGTATGCTTTAATGTTTGTAGCTTGTCTCGTGCTTCCTAATCGGCTTCCTTGAGGTAGAATTGAGCATATATGGCTTCTTTGAATCCATCTCAACTAGGCAACTCTAGATTTCACTCATTGAGCTCTTGGTCATACGCCACTATAAAGCAAGCATCCTTTAAAAGGTAGAGAGTAGCGATTTTGACGCGGCTTCTATCCTCGGTTAAGCCTATTGTCTTGAAATATTGCTCCACTTGTCAAAAGAAGTTATCGACTTCCTTAGCATCTCACCTACTAGCATAGTGCTTTGGTCTTGGCACTTCAACTTTTGGTGTGTCCCTTAAGACCATACTATTTGAGATAGCTTCTCGATAATTTACCTAATCTTTTCTAAGTTGTTCAAGAGTTTGCTCATACCTGGTCATATATTCTTGTTGTTGCTTGAACCTCTCCTTTGTCCATTCCATGAAGGCATCCTTTTCGGTAGCGTTCTCTTTGGCATACCTCTCAACTATTTCCACTCGAGCTTGGAGATTGGAGAGCACCTCACGTAGGCTTGCCATGCCTAGTGTCTCCCACTCATCATCTCCCTCTATCTCCTCGAGTCTCTCTTTGAAATCGACAAGGTGTTCCTCCGCCCTCGTGAGTGGCTCCTCTAAGGAAACCAATACATCACGAGACTTCCACCTTCCTTTCTTAGGTTGAGGAGGTAGAGTCTCATTCCTAGCATCCCCAGCAACATCCTTTATGCTAGAGCTAGACATGCTTACTCCTTTAAACACTTTAACTAGCGCAAGCTTACTCACACTTTGGTAGAAGTTTACTCGATACCACTTGTCTCGGACTTGGCTTTTCCCAAGCTCACGTATGGCACTTGGCTCTTTTCTTCTTTAAGACAAACCAAGTCAGCCTTCCTCACACAAAGTTGTTAAACAAAAAAGACACACAAGATATATAAAAACTGGTTGTATTACTTTCTAAAGCTTACAACCTTAAGGATACACTCTCTTAAATTTGTGGATGTCTAAGTGTCTTAGCCAAGAGAAGGCCTCACCTATTATAGCCTTCCACCTTCTTAATGGATGGCTATGATTTATTTAATCTAATGGCTATAATTGTTTCTCTAGAAATATCCTATCTAGATATTTACAAGGAACTATCTAGATATGTACATGTTAGATTAGTGAGGGACTCTCTAGAATTCTCTAAAACATGTCTAGATTTCTCTAGATCATCCTAGAGGCTTCTCCATTGCTTAATACTCTTATAGAAGCTCCCGGACTTATCTAGAGGCTTCTCCATTGCTCTATATTCTTCTAGAAGCTTTCAGACTTATCTAAAGGCTTCTCCATTGCTCTATACTCATTTAGAAGCTTCCAAACTTATCTAGTGTTCTCTAGAGTCTCCGAAAAATCTTTCTTTTAAGCGGAGCGTAACATAATGCTTGCAAGTAGTGTTGACTAGTAACAAGGATCCACTACCAAAGAAAAAGAAAAAAATGCACCGAGCTTTGGCCAACAATGCCATCCCCTAGCAAATATTAGTCGAGTAATACCAACTAGCTATAAGGCTTAGGCAAGCAACATTGCTAGCCACTAAAAGAAAACAAAAAAGCATTAATGGCTAGTTGGTAGCATTATTGGCCACCAAAAGAAAGAAAGAAAAAACGTTAATGGTTGGACAACAACAAGTACTGGTAAGCACTATTAACCACCAAAAGAATAAAAAAATTGCTAGTCGACATCATTGTTGGTCGAGTGTGGCTAACCAAATACTAAAAAAAAAAGTGCATGCGCATTGCTCGATTAATGAGTTATATCTTTCGATCTAGTTGTTAGTTTGATGCAAACCTTACCAATTCAAAAAGATGATTTAGAGATCCATAACCTAATGGTGATGAGAAATCCTTCAAAGACTATTTTTTAAATGAAAATGCACTCCAAAAACATGCTTTCAAGAGAGCCCTTATTAAGCTTGCAAACTTTTATTATTTATTATTTTTACATATTAAAATGCTCATAACTAAACGACTATATTCTTAACTATTTATTGAGTATGTAATGAGAGACTTGTGACAAGTCTATTGTAATTATTATCAAGTTATTTTTTATAATTTGATTTTTTTCCATCTTGCCATACATGAAATACAAACACCCTAATAGCAAGGTTGTTCATATTGAAGGCTAAATGTATATGTTTAATTTATTCATAAAAAATAAGTAAGAATTTAGTTAAATTTAATATATGCTAATACATGTTATTTTTCTTGATTTTGACATAGATCTAAACTACACAATAAACAAATTGTCAAGATGATGAGCATTGTCAAGCATAATGCTTAATTTGAGGTCGCTTTATGATAGACACAAGTATTCGACTGGATCGGTGTCCATGTCTTGCCTTTGAAATACATTGGAGAGATTAGTTTGGTGGGTTTGGAGTAGGGTACACTAAAAAAAAAAAAAAAGTTAATTGTTACTCCTATTAGCCTTTTCTAAGAAGTTGAAGCAATTTAGCACAAAATAACCTAGTTTTTCTAAGTCAAACCTAACCATCCAAACATATATGACGTGGAATGATCTTAGTGGTGAAGGATCATCCTCATTTCATTATAAATATCAACCTTATGCCATTGTGAAAAAACAATTCCAACTTTTCGATCTTTGTAAAAAAAAAAGTTTTCTTACTTATATATCTAATATCATCTAAATCTCTATATGTTTGTACTTTGATTACTCACTTACTAGCCACTCGACTTGCACCTTACTAGCACCGTCTACTTCTCCTCTCATATTTTTTACTACTTTTATCCATTTTATTTGGTTGGTTGATCTTTACTTCTACAAGTTGCCACACTCGGTTTTCTATATCACAACCAGTCTATAGACTAGTCATTTGATCAATTCTCAAAAACTTCTTCACACATCTTATATATGTTACAACCTTAAATCACATATATTATAAATAAATAAATAATAACTACGAAGCAATATATATATGAAAAAATTTCACTAGATGTATCTATGAACCACTATTGTAGCCCATCTTGCCTCGCCCTCTTTAGCCATGATGTATATCAAGTGTAGACTAATTGGTTCGAAAGTACTCTATACTATTGGTCAAATGTGAACTTATACCCCAATTTTAATTTGTTCAATTCGAGTATGACAATTTATTTTTTTTATTTGTAATCGAGTCGAGTAATGCTCGTTGACTAACATCTAGACACATGTGACGGACACGTGATAGTAAAATGATTGAAAAAATCATACTTAAATTAAATTGCCAAATTATTTTTCCTCCATTTTTTCCCTCCTTTCCTCTCCCACTCTTTATTTTTTTCTTCCTAAACTATCCAAAATTGCATGTAACTCAAGTCTAACCAACCTTAAATTACCCAACTAGCTATCAAATGTATAGGTGGTTTAGTTGCCTTCAAATAACACAGTTTAACACATAAAAAAATTAAAAATAATGATAAGAAAATACTAAAGAAAAAGAACACTTTATTTGAGATCTATAGTACAAATCTTAAAAAAAAAAAAAAATCTAGGATATACCTACAATAAAGATATTAGAAAAGAAATCTTATCTAATCAAATTTACAACAACTCTTTATTACACTTTATGATTTATCTAACCATCAACAATAATTGGACTATTCAAACAAATGTGAACTAATGAAGAGAAGCAGTAGCAATAGAGCCATATAACAACCTTAAAATGGCAAGGATAAAGGTTCATGAGTTGACGAAAAAGTCGAAGACAAAGCTGCTGGCCCAGTTGAAGGATAAAAGGTTCATGAGGTTGTCAATAGCGTACAAGAATAAAAAGTTTCTCCCTCTTCATCTTTGAAGACATAACGTGGCAGATAAGCTGGGAAGGAGAGAGGTGGTGGTTGTAGTGATGTGGTGGAAGGAAAGAGTGTGAGGAATAAGAAATATATATATATATATATATATATAGAGAGAGAGAGAGAGAGAGAGAGAGAGGAGGAGGAGGAGGAGGAGGGAGAAACCAAGATATACAAGGAATAAAGTTATTAAATTATTTAGGATTTTTTTAAATTTTATCTTTTGTTTTAATTTAGAAATGGGGTAATTTGTAATTTTATTGTGTCAAATTAATCGGTAAGAAAAGATAAGATCCACATGTTTTTCATTTATTAGACCATGTCAATATTAACTGCAAAAAGTATGCTTCAGATTTTGATCAATAGGATCGGTTAATTTAACTACAAATTAAAAAATAATTGTGATATTCGAAATAAGGTACCAGTCCACGTTTGACAGATAAGATAAGTTACTATGGAACCAATTAGCCCTTTAAGTGTAAAGTCCATGCTTGATCAATTGCCACATGCTTCCTTGGATTGCTTCCGAACTATCCCCTAGATACCGTCATGACATGGTCGTATTTGGAATGAGAATCTGCAAGCATGTCTGTTGCTCCTCATTCACACCACAAATTGGAATTGAGTAAGTACTGATCTCTGATACACTTATCACAGAAGCTCTTAAAACACCACTTGCTGGTCAGCACAGTATCTTTCATGAGTTCTTTACATAAAGGACTCAAAAGATGCGAATGTGTTCGGCCACCGCATGACCTTAGACAGCGGAAATCAACAGAAAGTTGGTTTTAAGTCTGCTGTGCTTTCTTTATTCTTCAATTATTACACCTCTTCTTCTGCTTGTAGCCCTAATAAACCTAACAATGCATTGCCTCAAATAAAAGGTGGATTTAGTGGCAGCCGTACAATAACAACAGTGTAGACGATGCCGTAGTTTAAGCAACATTATACCTAGCTAGCTCCCGCTACTCAATTATTACGTTCATTTACATTTTTCCCATAAAATATAAGAGGTAATAATTATGTTGTTGTTGTTGATGATGATGATGATTGTCATGGATAAATTTTCGTATTTAGGTGCTATGAGGGTTGTGTTTTTTTGGACTCCTTTTTCAAATTTGAAAGAAACAACAATCTTTGATAATTCGATAAATGTTTTTCCTTCGGATGAAGAGTTCTTTGGCTTTTAATTGATTTAGGTTCTCTGATTAATGAACAAATGAAGACATGTTAAGAAAACGGCATCTTACGTTCGTTAGATTTCTGCCAAACTGAAGCGGCTATTTTCAAGCCTTTGAAGTGGAAATTTAAGCTAGAATCAGAGCTGAGCTCTAGGCAATAGGCACTTCTCTTTCTCATGTATATGCACAGCTTATTACCTGTGTTGTTTAGTATCTGAAACTACTGGTTCGTTATTTTTATAAAGGTTTCGAAGTATCTAACAGAAGAAATCAAGAGAGAGCTAAGCATGGCAGCTTAATTTCAGTATTTTTTATGCATATGAAGTGGTCAATTGCCTGACGACTCCCTTCTTTAATTCAACTTTTGATTTCTAGAATCTGCATTAGAGCAACATAACACGCTAATTTTTCCTAATGAATGGAACAGTAGAAAACGTTTTATTATCAATTGTGAGCTTTGTTTTCCAAATCTGAAAGCTGATGGAATCGCCACTGTCAGATCTTCCTAGGTCTAATCCGGCTCAAAGTGGGCAGATCAGCCAAAATGCACTCTGTGCATGTGATTCCATGAAGAGACACAAATGGACTATTTGATGCTTATGGCTGTATTTTGATATGAGCAATCTCTAATATATTGTAGGCACTTCTGCACAACATATGCAACTGTCACATAGTTATTTGGATATCCTGTGGAACGAATGTCTGTATTACTTGATCTTTTTTCCTCTCAAATTGTTCTCTATCAGGTTAGATCAAGTGGATTTCTATAATTTTGAAAGTCAAGTTGACGAACATTTGCTACTTAATCATGTGAACTGAGCCTGTAACCATCTGTTTTCATGTGCTGCTAGAAACTTACAGATCCTAGTAAATTTTTAAGGCAATCAGGATATGACCACTATATTTATATTTTTCCCAAATCCTGTGTTGTTTATGTGTATCTACGTGGGTTTGTGCTTGTATTTCTTGCATTTTGCTTTCTTTGTTTTTCACTTTGTGAAGCATATATAAAGGCTTTTGAATTCCAACTTCATTGTTGTCAATGAGTTAGTTTTTGCAGGATGGACGGATAGATGATGAGGAGTTTGCTGCAATGATTAGAAAGGATGCTGAAGGATTTGGGGGAGAAGAGCCATGAAAAGGAATCTGACCTGTACTAGCTGATACCTTGGGCCTAAAATATGCAATCGCAGTCAGCAAGTGAAAGCTTCAGTTTGTGTAGTTATGCACTGAGAATGTTCGAAAATGTGGCAGCTAAACTTTTAAAGCTAGCTTTTGCTGTGTTGGAAGGAATCTGTGTTCTTAAGTTCAATAATGAAGTTCTGTAATCTGATTTATGTACTTTGAAGATCGACAGTAGCATCTCATCTATCATTACCACAGAAGACTCTGACTATGACAGAAGCAGCTTCTTGTCGAGAGCAAAGTCAGTGTAGATGCCAACATTATTGATTTTCTGGCCATGGGATCATAACATTGTTAGTCTGGAATACTCGAGATGCGAAGGCAATTGTCACACTCTATCTGTAGTCGCTGCGTCGATATAGCAGATTTCAGTTGTGGACTTGTTGATTGGTTACTTATCTAGAGAAATTACTATAAAATTTGCTAGAGAAAACACATTCACATATTAATATCATCATAAATTTTGTATTTTGATGCTTGAAGATGAAAATGGAAAGGAAATAAATAAAACTGATGAACATCTTCATGGAATGGAAATTGTCAAATTCGTGATATGACTTCCCTTGAAGATAAAAATGAAAAGGAATAAATAAACTGATGAATATCTTGCATACTATTCATCAAACAGATGCATATTAAACCTGATAAAGAAAACGAATGCGAGAAAAAAAATGTTTCCTCTGTTCAAAAGCAAGAGCTATATGCACATAATCAGCAAAGATTAAAGAGGAGGGAAAGCAAATACGCCAATCAAAATTCTAGAAAAGATTGTAATTTAGAAAATTTTCATTAATATACTGAAGTCACAAGATACAGGACCACAAAACACTAGCTGAACACCTACAAAAATCTATGTTCAATTCTTTTTACTCTGACCTTTTGGCCCAGCGCGATCATCTAACAACATTCATATAGTTAGACTTTACATCATAGCATAAAAACATTATAAAAATTTAACAAAAACAGCAAAAGATCAGAATTGTCTGCTGTCCAAAATCAGTAAGGAAATCCTGCATTCCCTGATTCTTCCCCTGCCAGTTCACTGTTCGTTGTGAACCAAAAGTCTTGAGGCATAGTATTAACGTATGGCACGCCGAAGTGGCCATATCCATAACCACCCATTGACTCAGTATAATATGGTGCCGGATATCCTTCCATACCTCCCCACATGCCAGCCCAGTATGGATTGTATGCACCAGAGCCAGCAGGCATTATCATATAGCCCTCACAAGCTTCAAAGTCTTGAGAAGCATTCCTCTTTCTCTTCTTTCCATTTTCATCACTAACCAGCTTCTGCGGATCAATTTCCTCATTGATCACTTGAAAATTCCCTTTTGGTGCTGTCTCCTTCACATTCATTGGCGCAAGTGTGGCTTTAGATACATCAGTAGATTCTGCAATTCCTGCTCTCTTAGCCATCTGGGGCAGGGCATTGACTCTTTCTTCCTTAGATGATGACGATGATGATGCAGCAGACAACGTATTAGATGAAACCTTGCTGGTTTGTGATGGGGAGTGAACAAAAGAACCGAAATCTTGAAGTTGAAAAGAGGTGCTTTTGGCATTACTACTGCTACCGCCACCGCTGCTGCTGCTGCTAGAAGTATCACACTCCAAAATCCTATTAATGGCACGCCTAACAGTCATATTAGGAATCAGATAATCAGTAAGCATATCTGTCGCTCCACATTCACACCTCAACCTCGAATTGATCAGGCGATCCCTGATGCACTTATCACAGAAACTTTTAAAACAACACTTGCTCGTCAAGACAGCATCTTTCATGATTTTCTGACAGAGAGGACACAAAAGATCAGGTGGGACATCATTAACAGACCAAGCTGCTCTTCTTGACGGTATGCCCTCCATCTCTTTCTCAAAGAGATCTTCGTTTGGCTTCATGACCGCAACCCCGCCATTCGATAAAACATACCGACCATCTGGGTCAGCCTTTAACATTGATTTTGGAATCCCAGTTGCAACTTTCACTCGTTTGACATCATAGTTGGGATCTCCATTAGTGGGGCAATGTTGGATGAAGTGCCCCCCAACATGACATCTGTGACATAGGTAACCTTCTGGGGGTGTTTGAGTCGGACGGCCACCGCGTGTTCTTCCATACTTTCCGCCCTTGACGTTACTGCCACGAGACTCAGCACCTTGCCCTAGCCAGTCTAAGGCTGGTGTGTTAACCAACTCCAGTATCTTTCTATTCTCTTCCTCCTCAATACCCATAATGAAAAAACCAACAGGAACTACTAATATTGACGAAGATTTGCACTCTCCCTCTCCTTTCTTGATCTCTAAATTTCTCCTTTGATCTTGATTGAGAGAGTAGACAGAGAGAGATTTTAAAATTTTAGTATAGAATTCCTGAAAAAGAAAGGAAACTGTTCTTTTATAGGAGCATTAGGTCGGTTGCTTACTCCCTGTTCTTTTCGGATTTCTAAGTCGGTCATATGACCTGTGAACGACGTTTCGTTTTAATCCTCATTAGTTGCGGACAAGGTTAATAAGGTTGGGGTCCTTGTACTTTTTATTACTCTTAACCAGTGGTCCCTCGTCAAAACAAATTCTTAAGCCAATCCTTATTCTTCAAGTCTTGTTAATCTCGGAATATTATTTAGAATATGGTCTAGATTTTCCAAAAAATAAATAAAATAATAAAATATGATTAAAAAATTCATAAAAAATAAGAATTGGATAAAAATTTGAAACCTAAAAAAGTATAAAAGTGATATATCTAAAGCTACAATTGCGCCAATGAATAAAAAGTTAGTGGTGAAAATGCATAAAAAAAAAAAAGTTTTAAGAAATACATCAAAAAAAAAAAAACCTAAAAATGTAAGTATTAAAAGAAAAACATATAATAAAATCATGTTGAAAAAAAATGATGAATAAAAGTTAGCAACTTCGATCCAATTTTTGCTAATATAGAAATCTAGTTGTTATGATTAGAACATAAAATATAACAATAGCACTAGAGTTGTCTTTAAGCATTTTATTTTATTTTTTAATAATAAATATTAAATAGGGATTTAATAGTTTATTTATTTATTTATCAAAGGCTATTTGCCCTACACAATAGAGAGTAATCATTTCTCGTTACATTCCATTAAAAGCTGAAGTAATAAGACTCCATCGTTTAGAGAAATTAACAGAGTATATAGCCGTTAAGCTAAACCTTCCTCTTAGATTTAAGAGTTGATTGATTTTATAAATGACGAGAATTTCACCGGTTGACTTTGACATATATCAGCCAATTGGAAAGGGTTCTTTAGAGATTCACCCTGAGCCTCTCGTTTGGGAGTGTTTGTTTTTTCGTAGATAGTTTTAGTAACAAGAGAAGAATTTCGATGTCGATGGCTTCCTGCTCTTCCTCTTCCTCTTCACTCTCTTCTTTTCGTTGGGAATATGATGTTTTCTTATGTTTCAGAGGGGAGACTCGCCATAACTTCACCAGCCATCTCTACTCAGCTTTGTGCAAAATGCAAGTCAAGACCTTCATAGATGATCTACTGGACAGAGGAAAAGATTTAGCCGCCCTCTTGAAAGTGATTGAACGATCAGCTGTTGTTGTGATCATTTTCTCAGAAAACTTTGCGGAATCTGAATGGTGCTTGGATGAAGTGGTCAAAATAGTTGAATGCATGAAGACAATGGGACACATAGTTTTACCAGTTTTCTACCGTGTAGATCCATCCATTGTGCGAGGTACTGCTACTGGCAGTTTTGCAGATGCGATTTCTAAACATGAAGAAACTGCAAAGAATGGAGAAGACGAATTGACTCTAAAGAAAATCCTCAAGTGGAAAGATGCCTTGCTCATAGCTTCCTCCCAAGCTGGGTGGGATTCGAAGGTCACCAGGTAACCGATAATAACATGCTCATTGCTCGTTAATTATCTCTGTGTCTCTCTATCTTCTTTTGTATTGTGTCTAAAGTTCATCTTTTATGCTTATTTGCTAGGCCTGACTCCAAAATTATTGAGGAAATAGTTAAAGACGTTTTGAAGAAACTAAATCAAAGATCCCCAAATTTTGACTCTCAAATCTTGGTTGGACTTGGTTCCCGTCTTTCAAAGATTGTGAATTTGTTAAGCATTGGTTCAAGCGAGACTTCCGTCGTAGGGATATGGGGAATGGGTGGTACAGGGAAGACAACTATCGCCAAAAGTATATTCAAGCAGTTATCAGAACAATTTGAAGAATGTTACTTCATAGAAAATGCGGATGACAAGTTAGGAAAACAAGGAGCAAATCATTTGGTATACGAAACATATTCACAAATATTAGGTGAAAATCTGGAAGTAGAGACTTTGTGTTTAGAAAAGCACTTTATGAGGTCTCGTCTCCGATATAAGAAGGTTTTTCTTGTCTTTGATGATGTGAAAGACTTCCGACAGCTTGAAGATTTACTACTTGGTGGTACTTATGATAACTTTGGATTGGGAAGTAGAATCATTGTAACATGTAGAGATCGTCTAGTTCTTCAAAATGTAAATGCAAAGATATATGAAGTTGAGGAATTAGATGCTTCTGAATCTCTCGAACTCTTCAGTTTGTATGCTTTTAAGCAAATCAAACCACCGGAGGATAGCTTCGACCATGCGAAGTTGTTTGTAAATCATTGTCAGGGAAATGCTTTGGCTCTTAAAGTTTTGGGTTCATCCTTGTATGGTAGAAGTAAAGAAGATTGGGATAGTGCACTAGAGCGAATAAAGAAAGTTCCTAATGGCGAAATTCAAAATGCCCTGAGAATTAGTTATGATGGACTAGATGGTGAACAGAAAAATGTATTTCTTGATATAGCATGCTTCTTCAGGGGAATGGATCGAAGTTATGTAATGAAGATATTAAATGGCAGCTATACTTCAGTACATTTTGTTATCAGTAGCCTTATTGATAAGTCTCTCGTAACTATTTCTGACAGAAAGGTAGAGATGCATGATTTATTACATGAAATGGGTCAGGCTATTGTTTGTGAAGGTACAAGAGTTGAAATGCGCAGCAGGTTAAGGAATGCTGAGGATATCTTTAACGTACTAATAAGAAAAAAGGTAGCTTCTTCTTCTTCCATTTTTCAGCTTGGGATGAATTCATTCAATTGTTAGCAACTAGTTTACCTTAGAAGTCAGATTTTTGAGTTGGTTGTGATGGATCAATTTCATTATTTCATACGAAACCTTATGTTAATTTACTTTTTCTCTAAATTACAAGGGAACTGAAACAATTGAAGGCATATGGTTAGACAAATCATACATGGAAGATGTGTATCTAGAAGCTGATACCTTTAGAAGGATGAACCGATTGAGGTTGCTCGTCATTGATGCTAGTAACATAGCATTTCCTCCCAGTGGCCTACAGTTTCTTAGCGATGAGCTACGGTATCTTGACTGGAATGGTTTCCCTTCAAATTCTTTGGCTTCAAATTTCTGTGCTGAAAACCTTGTGGTTCTTTGCTTACCAGATAGCAAGATCAAACGACTTTGGACAGGAGTACAGGTATGTTGATAGTTATAATTTCTGTGCTGAAAACCTTGTGGTGCTTTCCCCTCTTCTATATGAATTGTGAGAAGTTTCTTTCCTGTTCATCTCTTCTTTTTGTTTTTTGTGACAGCATCTTGAGAAATTAAAAGAACTTCATTTGCAGCGTTCCAAGTATTTGTCTAGGCTGCCAAATCTATCCAAAGCGGAAAATCTTGAGATAATTGATCTTACTGGTTGTGCAAGTTTAGTTGAGATTAACTCGTCCATTCAATGTCTCGGAAAATTGGAAATCCTCATCACCAAAGGTTGCAGGAATCTACGTAGGCTTCCGAGCAGGATTGGTTCTAGATGTCTTAAAATTCTTGATGTATCAAATTGCTCAAAGGTCAAACAATGTCCAGAGATTTCAGGAAACTTAGAGCAGTTATGTTTTCATGGAACTGGCATAAAAGAACTACCCCAATCACTTCAAGAATTCAGTGATCTCAGATGGTTTGATCTCACTGGTTGCTCAAATCTTTCCAAGTTTCCCAATTTTCCAAGAAATGTAGAAGTGCTGAAATTAGATGAGACTGGAATAGAAGAGGTTCCTTCATCAATCATGTTCTTAACAAGACTTACCAGCCTAAGTATGAACGGTTGCAAAAAGCTTTTGCGTATCTCAGACAATATTTCTAAATTGAAATCACTCGGCTCTTTAGGTCTACGAGACTGCACGAAACTTGAGTGCTTCCCAGAAATATTGGAGCCAATGTATCTTATAAAGTATCTCTCTTTAATGAATTGTAGAAATTTGAAGACGCTTCCTGACAGCATTTGTAATTTGAAAAATCTGGAATATCTTAGTCTAGAGGAAACAGCTATTGACGAACTGCCCTCATCCGTGATACATCTTTCTCGATTGAAATCACTCCGCCTGCTCAATTGCAAGTCTCTTCATTCCTTGCCAGAGCTTCCACCATCTCTACACGATTTACAGGCAAGAGGGAGTGAATCACTGAAATCCTTATCTAGTAGTGGCACAAGCAATTTCAACTATCTAAGTTTTTCAGATTGCTTCAATTTGGATCAGAAGGAACTCAGCAAAATCATGGTAGACGCTCGGTTAAGAATACAGGTCTGTCTACCTCTATGTGCATGACTCTGGCTCTCTATCTCTCTCTCTCACTCCCTAAGTTCTAGTCTGATTTTTGTTTTGCAGTCTGGTGATCTAAGAAATGAAGTTCGGTTTGCTTTTCCTGGGAGTGAAATGCCTGAATGGTTTGGTGAACAAAGTATGGGTTCTTCGGTATCCGTAAAGTTACCAGAACACATTCGAGGAGTGAAAGGAATTGCCTTCTGCATTGTCCTTGCTTGGGAAAAACCTACATCACTTCATGATTTTTGCTATGATAATTCCGTCACTGTTACATGCAACATCCTCGGTGATGAAGGTGAATTTATTTCTTGCTCAACGATTGCATCGAATGAATGTATCCATCTAGAGGAGTCAAATCATGTGTTACTACATTATGATCCATCTAGAACGTTATGTCGATCATTATATTGTAGCGAGAAGGTTTCATTTCAGTTTCATCCACATGGCCCTTACAAGGTGAATCAATGCGGGGTCCTTCTAGTCTACGAACACTACGATGATAATTCACTTGAAACTTTACGAATTTTGAGTGAGATCATTGACAAACTATAGAAGGTCAAGAAGGATGACATTCCGAACTTGGAAACAACAGCAAATTGTAACTACCTGGTCCTTTTTTCTCTCTTGTATTTTCGATGTTAAAAAAGGTTCCCTATACTTCCTTTTTGGTTGCCTTTAAAGTAAAAAACATATACGTAGTTTTCATTAAAATGCCAAAGTACTATGCATTTGATTTGCATTTCTTGCATTTAGTTAAGAAATAATAGAATTTCCTTTATTTTCTATCTACTTGAATTTAACTTTGACATTTCTGTTGTATTTTTTGCAGTACGTTCTTCTTTGGATTGTACATTAGTAACGTGAACTAAGGCAGGTTTTTTTGCACTTGACTGTAGCAGGATGGAGCACCATAAATATGCAGTGTTGCTTCGCTAATTCTTTTCGTAACAGGCGGAATCAGTCTCTGCCTCAAAAAGTCTGGAGCTAAGATATTTCTGTAAGAATAAATATGTGCATTTGCATTTTTAACAAGTTCCATGGCAAGGTGAATATATAATTCTGAAGTGTTAAAGACAATGCCCTGATCTTAGAAAATTAGGTGTTTTCTTCAGATCCTTCCATAACAGAGCACTTAAATACTCCAGTTCTATATCATTAGCTTTGATACATGGAGTTATAAGATAGGTCATTGTGGAGTTAAGATTCTTGTTTTGTTCTATATGTCATACTTTTATTTGGGATTTTTTTTTTAATTGCCGATCGCTCAACAGAGGTATGTCTGTTTAAATGTTGACATCAATGAATCTGTGAAATATCATGTCCAACCCTTGAATTAAGATCTTAAATATATGAAAAAGCAGGGCAGCAAAGAAATCGATACAATTAGTGCAAGAACTTCGAGAAAGAAGGAAAAAAAAAGAGGGAAATTTCATTAGCAAAGTAACAATTTACTGGAGCAAACAACAACTAGATGGTAAAAACCGCTTACATGTTTCCTTTGTGATCTTTTTCACCAACACAATTATCGATCAACAAGGATTTGATTATTTTCACATACGAGCATAAAACAATACAAAAACTAAAAGAATTGCCAAGCAATCAATCTAGGCTAAAAGAGTCAGTAGGTTGCATCACATAGCTCTAAACTTGAAACTCTAGAGAAGCATTCCTCTTTCTCTTCTTTCCAATTTCATCACAAACCAGCTTCTGCTGAACTTCCTCATCTGACACACCAACACTCTCTTGTGATGCTGTCTTAGCTTTCATAGCCATCTGGGGCAAGCCATCTACTCTGTCTTCAGCATTAGTTTGTGATGGACAGCGATCAACAGAACCTAAATCTTGAACTTGTAAAGAGATGCTTTTAGCGTCGCTACCACTGCCGCCGCTGCTGCTAGTACTACACTCCAAAATCCTATTAATGGCACGCCTTACAGTCATGTTTGGGATAAGATAATCAGTAAGTATATCTGTTGCTCCACACTCACACTTCAACTTGGAATTAATCAAGTGATCTCTTATACATTTGTCACAAAAACTTCTAAAACAGCATTTGCTAGTCAACATAGCATCCTTCATTACATTCTTACATAAAGGGCACAGAAGGTCCTGTGGGACATCATGAACAGACCAAGTAGGTCTTTTTGAAGGCATGCCCTCCATATCTTTCTCAAAAGCCTCTTCATTAGGCTTCAAGACAGCAGCCTCCCCACCGGACAAAACATAGTGACCTTCCGGATTGGTGATTAACATGGATTTTGGAATACCAGAGGGGGCTTTAACTTTCCTGGTGTCATATTTTGTATCTCCATTGGTGGGACAATGCTTGATGAAGTGTCCTCCAACATGGCAACGGTGGCAGATGTAGCCCATCGGCGGTTTAGTACTAGGACGGCCACCTTGAGCCCTTCTGATCACCTTGCCACTACCTTTGCTAGAACCTCCACCGCAACTCAGCCAATCAGTATTCACCAACTCCTGAATTCTCTCGTCCTCATATTGTCTCTCCATATCGAAAATCTAGCAAGCAAAATGAAACTCTAAAAACAGGGATTAATGAAAATCTGAATAAACGGGAGGGAATTTATTGTAGAGGAAGCCTCCTTTTCCTTTTTCGGATTCTGATTATTTTAAAGTCCTTCTCTGCCAAGAATTATGTTACTTGGTCGGAGAATTAAGCAAAAGGCATTCTTACCAAAAAAAACAAAAAAACAAAACAAAAATGGAATTTGAGTGATTAAAATTACTACTACTAAATTACTTCGTGTCTAGAATTTTACAGTTTTCGTATTGGTCCTTCAGTTTGGAAATAGATGACAGTGAATAAAAAGCCATAGGATCTGTTCTATTGGTATTTTTTAAGCTTGTAGACTAGCATTATATAGTGTGTAACCATCCAGTGCTATTAAGTTGGAATTTAATTGATGCAGATCGAGATAAGTTAGCTAAATACAAAAAATTAATGCATCAGGTTATAATATTCAAGTTGCACAAATCTGGTTTTAATTCTAGAACGTAACAGTTGATTTTTCATGTTATTATTATGGTATTAATTACAAGAATCTGATTCTTAATCCTCCAACAAAAAAAAAAAAAACGCTATCCTCGTGAAACTATGTATTTGTGTGAAACTAAAAAAAAAACAGTAACTTTGCTTTAGGCTCACACAAATACATAGTTTCACGAGGATACTGTTTTTTTTTTTTTTTTTTTTTTTGGTACTGAAAGGGGGCAACAAATGCTCAAAAAACTAAAAACTACAGACAAACTTGGCGGGAAATGGCAATCATAATAACATCTTGATACAACCAGAAATTTCTACTGGAAAGTAATCAAATTAATAAACACCGTTAATAGTCTCTAATTTGCCAACCATTTATTACCGTCTCTATAAGGGAAATACGGACCTTCCACTCTCTCTGAATGAGCTGCAAAAATTCTTAAAAAGATTTCATCAGGATGGTTTAAGCTTACAAACAGGACTCCCCATCCCAACATACTTCTAGTCCTGCTTTATGATCCGTGCACATTCTTAAAGAAATATATTTTCGAGAAATCGAATCTGAAGGGCGAATGTATCAAAAGATTATTTTAAAATTTATTCACGTATGAAATCTGGCCTAAAAATAACATGATTATTAAGAAAAAAAAAAAGAGTTCGAGACAACTGGCCATGAAATAGTATCTTTACATTGAGGCGAATTTGGATCAAACCACCAACAATCAAGCCATTATTTCCTGTAAGAGATGAGAGTGCGTAAATACATCTTAAAGGCTTTTCCAACTTAAAGGACTTGAATTTCCTTCAAATAAAGTGAAATAGATTCAACTATAAAGTCTACAACACACACAGAAGATAATAGAATCAACTGTCTCTGAGAGAAAGCGCCGGCAACATCAGGCTGCTCCGATAAACATAGAAACTAACAAGGGGCACTATGTCCTCAAAAGTACCCATCTAAGCTGCTGAACTATATCAAAATTTAATAGTCAGTTCATTTCTTCTGAAATCCTATTGAACCCTGTATTTCAAATCCTCTAAAAGAGTCCTCCATATTCTTGTATTCTTGGCTCCTTCGGTATAAGACACTACTACAACACATTACCGGAAACTATTTAAATACAGCGCTACACCAGTTTCCTAACAAGGCAAATACTTTAGACTGGGACTATGACATACTACCAGACACTACTTATATGCAGCACTACACCAGTTTCCTAACAAGGCAAATATTTTATGCAGATGTTTCAAACTACGATGTCCACAGTGCGTGCATAGCATGTAATTGACTTAAATTAGCAGACTTCAAGGACATTTTGTAAAGCTCTTTCAGTTTTCCAGCATCTCCACACTTGCTCGATGCCAGAGTTGGCTTGGCAACAGCAGAAATCTTGTTTGCATTTGCAGGAAGCGTCGAGGACAGCATTTTCTTTAAAAGCATCTGTAGCTGACCCCAGAATTTGGCATGTATCTCAGGATAATCAATTCCAAAAGAATCTGACATTGCTTCTGATATATGACGCCCTTCAAGCATGCGAGCTAGAGCTGATTCTAGCATCTGGAACAAAAGGCAATTGATCAGTACCTCTCCTATAACCGTGATGAATATGCAGAGTCCTAAAGGCAAAACTTAAACAAGGATTTGAAACTGGCTAAAATAACATGGTTGTATGGCCCAACAAAATGGTTCCTAAATCAACTGTACATACTGAAGCTCTTCATTGACAAGATAGCAATGCCACAGCTTATGATGAAAATGATAGTGGAATAGGAGTCAAAAAGCCACCATTACACTGGTATTATTAGATGGGCTGCCTTTCATCTTTTAAAAAGATGCCGACATTAAAATTGATGACTTGCTATGGCTCATGAGGACAAAAAGTTACCAAAAGGAAGGGGCAGCAAGGAACTGGGTAAGAGACATTATCTTTTTCAGAGAATTGTTAGCTGTCTTACAATTTGTGGTAGAATAGAGAAGTACAAAGTATACATGTTAGAGCTATAAAATTTTACAAGACCTAAAAGCATGTTTAACACCTACTAGTTGGTATAGAAAATAACACAGTAATCATCATACACCACATAGTTATTCGATTATATTTCACTGACCAAGTCATTCAAAACTAGAATGTTGAAAAATCCCAAAATTGAACAGTTCCATAAACCTAATGTCTTCCATGCATTAAAATCCAAATTTCATCTTAGTCCATTCTACCTCTATACTTGCCTACTAGACAATGTTTACTTGGTCACTACTGTACTAGTGTCGACAGATCTCTCTTTATCACCAGAATTTATCTTCTCTGTTAGCTGTTAATGGAACTTCTTTAAAAAATCAAACTTTTGTTATCCTTAAAAATGGCCACACAATATTTGCTCTTTCTTGAAAATTCAACATCATATCAGAAAGTAAGGATGGGAACATTGGGAATTGGGGATCTCATTAGCTAAAGTGGTCCAACCAATATTTACCGCATTTGCATGTAAGGTTCCCGAGAGGCTTATAGAAAGGGCTGATCTCTCTATAAGGATGGTCAAATGCATGGCGAGATGGGTCTTTGGACTGTAGAAGTCCATTGCTTTTTGCCAGTTCCTCTCTGCCAAGGATGCATATTGCTTCACCCGCTGAAGATTGTTGTTTTCACTTTTATTTAAATTGGTTTTCTTGATATCCAAATTCAAAAATTTCAAACAGCAATCCCTCTGGTAGCTAGCAAGCTGAAAGTAAGCATATGCAGCTTCCTGTTTCCGTAATTCACCCAGAGATTCATACACAGACAATGCCTCTCTAATGGCATCATTGGCTGAAATCTCATGCTTCCTCACTTCTTTCCAGGTTCTCTTGTCATTAGGACCAATAGTAACAGCAGACATGTCTTCCAATGCTCCATTTTCATAAACTTCTGCAGTAGCATCTTCTTTTGCCAAAAGCATCCCAAGCCTCAAATATGTATGAGCGAATTGCGTGTGAACTTCATTCCTCAAGACAGTGGTAACTGAATTATCCCCTTCCACAATAGCATTCAGTTCAGCTCTTCCAGTCCCATAATATCTGAGTGATTCACTGTATTCTAGTTTCGCAGTTTGCAGAGCTTCCTTGTATGCATTTTGGAAGATTGGATGTGGTTTGAGATTTTCCATCTTGGATACCATCTCTTCAGCCAATGCCCGTCTACCATGGCCCAAATTACAATTAATTAATATGACATTGGCATGATCAGAAACTTCTCTGAAAGCACCTATCGCATCTGCAAATGCGAGTTCAGCTTTGGTCAACTCTTTTCCTTCTAGTCTATTCCGACCCATTTCATTACAAACCCACCCTATCTTTTTAATAACAGATTGAAGTTCTGCTGAGCCAGTAGGAAGTCCACCCAATGCCTTTCTAGCTTCTTGGTAGCAACTTAAAGCAGCAGAAAGATTGTATTCAGCATCTCTATCAGCAGGATTTCCAAGATATTTAAATATGCCCCCTTTTTTCAATTTAAGTTTCTCTTTCGAAGTAGTTTCACTTTGAGAAGGGAAAATGGAACCTGCATCATGGGTTTCCAGATTACCCTCTAAAACAGTACAATTCGTATCTGCCAAGGAATTTACTCCATGCTTATCAACTGCAATACCACAAGCTTCTATTGGGGTATTACCATTGCCCCTGTCAAGCTGAAGATATTCACCAGCATTCTTCCTAGTTTGCTCCTTATGATGTCCCCAGCCATCATCAGAGTCTCCCATGAAAGAGTAGGAGGTACCCTTAGTATAGGATCTTTTACTATGCCTTCTGCCATAAGCTACAGTGTGTTTATCTCCACTGCTACTGCTTGCACTGCTACCGCTACTGGCCCTATCTCTCTGGCAGCTGCAATTCACCAAGGAACATGAACTGCAGTTCTGATTATGTTGCCCCAGCTTCTTCTTCAGCCTCTGGACTTCCTTCACGACATCTGTTGATATTCTCAACTCTCTAGCAGAAGATTTTCTCTCTGATTGATTTGAGAGCTCATTACCCTTCATGACATGAAACTCAACATAAACATCTCCAACCAGTGTCCATGCCTTGGCCCAAAAGAGGTAAGTAGAAGAAAACCGCTCAAAAGAAAGAAATTTGCCATCGGAGCTGGATTTCCTTTCTTTTCTGTTGCTAATACATGATATTGTCTTCTCATTTCCATCATTGCATTTTGTCAAGGTTTCATATTTAACCATTGAGGAGATAAACCTAGTGTCTTCCAAGTACTGTGGCATTGATCCGTATACAGCACAAGCCAATTCTACTACCTTCAAAGCTTGATGCAACTGTTTATCCTCCATATAAGCTTGTCCAAGCGCCAAATAAGATTCACCAAGAAGAAGCACAAGTTTCCACAATTTGTCATCAACTTTCGATGTCGGTAGCCACTGTCGGATGTCACAAACTTCGATACAATCAGCATCACCACATGCACAAACAGAAAAGTTCTTCGAGGAAGGTAGCCCATCATAAAAACTGCCCTCGTCAAGTGACTCTTCATCA